TGTGTGTGTGTGTGTGTGTGTGTGTGTGTGTGTGTGTGTGTGTGTGTGTGTGTGTGTGTGTGTGTGTGTGTGTGTGTGTGTTGGACGGAAAGAGAGATACATTCCACACTTTTCCTCACTCTGTTGGTGTCAAGCTTTCACAGACATGCGTGAAGTATTTTTCACCCCCTCACTTTGCACTCTGTCTGTCTTTTCCTCCTTCCCTCGTTCCTCCTCCCAGCCTCCATCTCACTTTTCATACCCACAGGCTTCTGCTATTTAATTACCCTTTCCCAGTATCAGATTACTGAGGAAGAACACACTCGCTCAGTGAGTGTGTGTGAGAGGGAGAGAGAGAGAGCATGGTGCCGTTTTTGGAGCATTGTCCACCTCTGCTCATATATTTTAGTTTTTTCATGTAACCCATTTGAAAACATATGAGGTATGAACAAGTGCAATTTTCAGGCTTGGTCTCAGCATGTTATAATGCTTGTTCTGTCACAAGTCACACGTCAAGAATCCTACACACTAATGCATACACACACACACCGAATGACCAAAACACTCAGCTTAATGTAAGGTCAATAGAGTCACCTTGACACACCCTGGACAGTAGATACTCAAGATAAACCGTCTTTATCAAATCAACCAATTAGCTTACATTTGCTGCATGGACATAGAAACATTACAGCATTTTTAATGTAGGGATTAAAAACACTTAGGTCACTTTATGAACCATCTGGTTCCAAACACCAGCAGAGCGAGAGCCTCAGAATGATTCTATGGGCCTTTATGGCCCGTCCACACGGCGGCGTGCGTTGAAGCTTGCCGGCGGGCGTGTCTGAAACTCAACCAACAACCAATCACATGAATCTCCCGCCCCTGACACACAAGCAGCGGTTTGATTGGCTAGAGCTTGTACTGGCATATGATTCGATTGGCTGACGATTCTGCCGAGGCTTCAAAAGTTGAACATTGCTCAACTTCTGCAGCGAGCCACGCCCATGGCTTGGCCACGCCAGCAAAGCTCTGCGTCGCTTCCCACAATGCAGTTTGGCGAAAAGTGACGTCACCTCATTCAGAGTGAATGGTGAAGCTTTCAATGCATGCCGCTGTGTGGACCGTCTGTAGTCACTTCTCAAAAGCCAATCTGACGTTTTCAATCCTCTAAATATTCTTCTGCCCTCAAGGTCTGTTAAGGGATGTTGGGTTTTTAATGTATGATAATGAATAATAAACCACTATAAATCAATTATAAAAAAGGTAAACCCAAAAAAGTGTATCCCTACAAATATATTAAGAACTCCCAATACTTGTTTAGGAGAAGGAAAGAGACTGTTTCAGATGCCATTCAGTATTGGCAGATACTCAAGGTTATGGTATAAGAGCCGTTAATATTGATTATGTGTGATTTTACCATAAAACTCAGACATGTGATGGTAAAACCTACCTTTAGCCTGCCAGAGTCTAAACGGAGAGCAGACAGAAGCGGATCGAGGCAGTCAAACTCTGCCAGGACATGACTGTGGTTCTCTGGTACAACTGGTATCAGAGGCATCTTCACTGCTGATCCTTTACAACTGGGAGACAATAAGACAGAAAAGTATGACAAATGTGGGCTGCTTCAGAAGTCACTGCTCTGCTCCCTTGCATACCTCGGCCCTCAGCTGCGTCACATCATATGACTTTCAGCGGTGCACCTACTTTCTCAAATTGACCAGTCATGACTTCACTTTACACCGTCTCCATTCTGGTAAAAACATGTTATCATCTCTCGTGCAGCAAAACTGTTGTTCAAATATCTGCTGTCCTGGAAGTCTCAGTTAATTTTGAAAGAATTGTTTTTTACCAGGGCGCCATTCAGCTCAAAATCCAACACAATGTAGTTTGGCTTTGATTTACTTTTAAATCCAACATATGAGGAAGCAGAACAAAAACTGCAGATCATTTGAATAACTGTAAAAACCATCAGTGTGTTTTCTACATTTAAAAAAACACGTAGAAAACAAAAGGACAGAACATAATTGCTCCAGAGCATTTATGTTGATAAATATTTCAAAAGAAGGTGAGAAGAAACAGTCACCTCTGAACTCTGTCTCTGTATTTGTTAACACTCTAATGTCTGCTACATGAAGGTATTTATGGTTAAAGATGTGCTGATCAGACCTAAGGAAAATGTAAATTCATACCGGCTCAGTCCTTGACTCAAAATGACTATACGAAAGAGAAAGATACAACACGAACCGTCTCCATGTAAACGGGGTCTTAATCAGAGACAGAGATGTTGTTAACTGTATTGCTTCTTTTGCTCGTTATTAGGGATCTGAGTACCTAATCCAACACTGATTAGAAGTAGCCTACAAATCCTATGGTAAAAACCCAAGGAAAGTACCTTTAATGTGTTAACTATAACGGTTAACAAATGTTTACTTACTTAGAACTACCAGAGTGTAGAAATACTCTTTTACAAGTCAAAGTCCTGCAATCAAATCGTTAAAGTACAAAAGTATTGGTATCAAAATATACTTAAAGTTCCAAAAGTAAAAGTACTCATAGTGCAGACCAGCCCATTTCAGAATAACATAATATAATAATATATATTATATGTTTTGATTATAAATATTGATGCATCCAAGTGTTATTAAATCTGGTAAAGGAGCAGCTAGTTTGAATGACTTTGTATACTGCAGGGTAACTTGTGAATTTTGCTCCAGATGTAACTAAAGTCTTATTTAAGGGTTGATTATTTTTCACATATTTAATACAAATCAGCAAAGTAATTACATTTTATTAAATGAATGTAGTGAAGTAAAAGTACACAATTTACCTCTGAATTGTAGTGGGGTAGAGGTAGAAAGTAGCAAAACATTGAAATACTCAAGTAAAGTCCAAGTCCCTCAAAAGTGTACTTAAGTAAAGTACATCTACTTTCTATTAACCCTTACTTTAATCCAGTATACCTTAGTGTAAGTGAGTGAAACTAATTAAGTCAATCACTGTCGGGCCCCTTATGGTAGTTGTTAATAAAATGTCTACAATTCATTCAGTTGCTTTCCGAAACTAAAAAGGGTCGTCTGTCTGCCATGCATCACGAGACATATCTGCTGACACTAATGCTAACGTTACCATCAAACTAATGGACCCAGAAATACATAACACAATATTATAAGAACGACATGGCTTTGTTAGGTATAAATAAAGGTTTCTTCAAAGTAAAATACATCTGAAGACTGTTCAGTGCGCTAACTCGCCTCTGTATTTACAATAACAAGTTAGCAAACATGCTAGCTGGCTAAGATAGTGATGTAGGGACCACGTATGGTTTTGTCATTAAAAACTCACCAAATGTCAGAAGAAACAGCAGTGTTTCCGTCTACAGATCCACACCAAAATCCCGTCACAATGCTGGGTTTCTTCACTTTTTTCTGTGGAAAGACAGCGGTGAGTCTCACGCCTGTGTCCGCAGCCAGGCGACCTGTCCCGGCTCAGCTGGTGACTTCCTGCTGGAGGCTTTATCACAACCATTGTTGAGAAGTACAAAGTACAAATCTTAAAATACTCCATTAAAAGTGAAAGTAATTTTTTTTTTTACTAAAATAAGCAGTATTTTATCCCTTTCGGTATTTGTACGGGTATATCTATAGTTCATGTAAATATAGTAATAATCGTTTTATTTTGTTGGTACTTTTCTTACCATTTATCTTTCTTTACATAAACATAGTTCTATGTTAAAGTATGCACCATGTACACCAAGGCAAATTCCTGTGTAAACCCACCTGGCAATAGACCTGTTTCTGATTCTGATTTAATTTTACATTCTTTTTTTAGCTCATATTATTATTTTTACTCATATGTATTTCTTTATTGGACAAGGACCATGCATACAAATCCATTAATCTCAAAATGATCTCCTTATGCACAATGTCCCGTTGCTTTATACCATATCAGCATATTTGTGTTTTTGATGTACAAAGTAACTACTAAACGTGAGTGTTAACATAAATCTAGAGTAAAACATTGAATGGAAATACTCAAGTACAAATGTCAAAAAAATATGACTTAAGTAAATGTACTGAGTTACTTTCCACCACTGGTCACAATGAAACAATCTCCATACTCTCTAAAAGCAGCTAAAGCTACACATTTAGAAAAATAAACCTCTATCTCTTATGTAGTTTAGAAAATAACTGAGACAGACTCTGATAAATGAAATACTGTAGTTTCAAAAGACAGTCGAATGATCACATTCTCACTTTATTTCAGTGACATTTTCGTCTTCAGTGCAGACAGAAGGTGCAGACATTACAAACCAGTGACAGTGTGATTAGAGCCACAAACAAGCACACACACTAATGCACTCAGTGTGAAATGTCATCACATTATTGCTATGCTCACTTCAGATTATCTGGAACTTTGTTCCACAAGTTAAACCAGTGCTCAGATTTGCTCCTTGTTTGTCTCTTTCTCTGCTCTGTGCACAGATAAAACTCATGTTGGCAGTCGTCTGCTTGCATTTCACACATCAGCCTGTCTTCCTGAGTTCCTTTATGATTCTCCATTTGAAATTTGGTCACATTACACCACTACTAAAGTCCCATTTAACCGATACCGGCACCAATCTCTCAACCATTGAGAGAACAAAAAAAAGGGAAAGAAACTAATAACAGTCATTGGTGACTGAGCGGCAGTTAGTCTCTGAAGAACTGTCTGGGATGTAGCAGCATCCATGTATATCCTCATGTAGCCCCTGTGGATCTCGTCCAATCAGGCTGTCGCGAGAACCTTCCTCGTCATTTGTCCAAATTCTATAATGTCTTTAATGTCCTCTCTTTGACAAATCATCAGACCTCAGGTTTTCCTCAGCATGCGACGGGTTTGCCAGACGTGGAACTTGCTATAGGCTGTCTGCAACATCTGCTCCAAATGTCCTGTGAGCTGTGGGGACGTCAAAGCCATTTAATACAAGTGTCACCCGGTATATAAGACATTGTGTTATCATGAATAGTTTAGAGACTTACATTTGCACTTAAGTACTGACGCTGAACCTTCTCCTGAAAAGGACAAAGCTTGGACACCTGAAATCTCTCCAGGTTTGACTTCATTTTCGTCACCTATATAAAGAGTGAGACATGATGAGAACAAATCTGAAGGAAAGAAACTCATTTTCTGTTTGCTCGCGGACAGACAAATGAACAGAGCCGAAAAATCTAAACTTTCATGTAGGAGTGTGATATAACATTTCTAAGTAAAAACAAATGTCTATAAATACCATTATAATAAGTATATATATACATGACATGAAGGATATTGTCAGAAAGCACTAAAACATGTGTCAGCACTAAAACATGAATAAGTTTAAGGAGTAGAATACATTCATTAGCATTATATGGCTTCACTGTTATGGGCAGGTGTATTTTTTTAAACCGTGAAGCAATGTATATACCGTAATTTTCGGACTATAAGCCGCGCCTTTTTCCCTATTTTTCGACGCTGCGGTTTATATAACGGTGCGGCTAATCTATGGATTTCTACAGCTAACGGCCAACACCTTTAACTCTATGGGCTCTATGGCCGGTCCGCGGACCCCTACCTTTAAGCGGCGGGTTCCAGCAGGAAAAGCTGGAGGCCGGAAAAGAGTGAGACAGGTAGCGCGCAAAAGTAAAAGTGGAACCGAGAGTGGTATGCCGCTGATGCGGCTTATATTCAGGTGCGGCTTATAGTCCGAAAATTACGGTACTTATTTCTATGCACTTTTACTCCATGCACAAAACTGTATAACACTTTGATTTTGCGAACAGATGTAATGTTTCTCCCCCACCATTTTTTTCATACTTCCTTAAAGTTATTATTAGTCACCTTTTCCTCTAAAAACGGTGTGTTTACAGGAAAACAGGACCAGAAGTGTCTCAGCAACTCTCCAGCAGCCGCGTAAAGATGCTTCAGCTCTCCTTGAACATCAGTGGGTACCATCTCTGAAAAAGAAATGATAAAGATATTAATTGAGAAGACAAAACCAAGTACTCCAAGCTTAAAATAAACGTTTGTCAGGATGGATTAAGGTGTCAGCAGTAGTGACGAATCTATGGATAATCAATGAACCACTCTGAAACACAGATATTTAAATCCCTCCCTTTATCTCTGCAGATGCGTTGAAGGCTTATTGAAGCTACCTGACACATGTGCTACAACTTTCACAATAAATAGTTATAATGTACTGTTATCGGACAACACACTTACGATTGATGGCCTGCTGTGTTACTGCCTGCATGAGCACGCCACCTGGAGAAAGTGCAGCAATGGCAGAACTAGCCGTTGTGCTGCACAACACCTGCAGAAAGTATCAGTTTTAAACGCTTTAAAGGCATCACTCAAAGTTACATATCCCTGTCTTTTCAGGAAAAAAACTGAATTATTTCTGAAAAAAATTGGAAATATTGGAACATAATCAGGAGTTCATGACCCTAAAATTACCTTTTTTATTTGAATAAAAGCGTTATCATAATATTCGTTACATTTTTAAGGGCAATTACTTGTCACAATTGAAATATTCCAACTTGACCGAAGAATAAATTAAAAATACATATTTAAATCGTTTTGGTTTTTACATATGCAAGTTACATATAAGGACTAGACTTGTACCTAGAAATAAACAATATTTAGATACATCTCATTTAGGAACTGCCACTTTAATGTAGTTTACAATATGTATCTATTTTAGTGTTTTGGAAGCTGTTTTCTTTCAGTGTGTGAATATACATCGGTAAAACATACACAGAAACACACCAATGCTTGACTTGAGGCCTGCAAGGTTTTTGCCAGTATTGATAAGGCTCTCTTCTTAAAGTGGACCTATCATGCTATATTTGAATAATATAGTGTAGGACCATACCTATATAAGGCATATTTATACTTTTTATTTTTCAAAATACCAAACAGATCATGCATTTTAGCCATTCCTCATTTCGCTCAATTTAACACAGTCTTTNAGGGAAATTTCTGCTCGTCACCCTCTCCCTCCGGTCCACATTAATACAAATGATCCCAATACGTATGATTGTATGAAAATATCTTAAAATCAATACAGATGTATTTATTATAAACGTTAGTCCTTAACATCTATCACTGTGTACATCACCATTATCTTTTAAAAGTTGAACAAACCCCACAAGACTGTGAAATGTTGACTTTATTTGATAATTTCAGTAAAAACTAACGTTCATATTTCTCTTTTTGATTATAATACTGATGAACGTTCAAAACAAAACACTTTGGCAACTTACCACATACGTTTTAAAATGCTTAATAAGCACCGTAACTTTCATGATATAATTTCTCCGTCATAATCGTTTGTTTCCGTGAATGGCCGACTGTTGTGTGACGCAAATGCTGCGGCTGCAAGGCATTGTGGGGCAGCATTTTCTCCTCTCCTTTCGGTTAGGGAGGTCCAGTGGTTCCTAAGCTAAAGGAGGTTATAAAGGAAGTTTGAAACCTCCTTTCCTATCATCTGGAGAAATCGAACGGCACTTATCATGGCTGCCACTGAGGGACTTCCGGGTCATTTCACTTGGTTAGGAAGGTTCCTAAGATAAATGGACTATTGGAGCGCAACCCTTATGTCCAGATATTTTCCAAAATCCTACGGAGAAATCCCATTGGCTCTGAGACGAGGGAACAGGAAGTGGTGAAATGCTGACTCACTTCCGGGTTTTAGGACTTGTCACTGCACCACTCTATTGTGTTAACAGAAAATTGGCCTTTCAATAGTGTTTTTATTTATCAGACAGTTTATAGATTCTGTACATTTTAGATGCTTTATTTCTATTTCTTTGTGAGATGTTTATATTTTAGAATTGTTCATTTCTACTCTTTCTATTTGTTATTATGTGCAATGCCTTGTTTTGTTTTATGCTGCTGCAACAAAACAATGTCCCAAATTGGAATTAATAAAGTACATCTTATCTTATCTCATCAAAAAGGCTGGTTTGATCGCTGTTAATCGAGCATTGAAAAGATGTTGGTTAAACGGCAACTATACTGATACACACACACACACACACACACACACACACACACACACACGGCCATCGGGAGCACCTCAGGGTTCAGTATCTTGCCCAAGGACACATCAACATGTTGAGTGCACGGGCTGGGATCGAACCAACAACCTTCTGGTGGAAAGACACACATTCCCTCACAGCCACAGTCGCCCTAAATATCCTCAATCCAATTTAAATTGGTAGGTATACAGTTGGACAAAACAACTCCGGGATACTTTATAAAGAAACCAATCAATCATATAATTAATCTGTAGATTAAATCAATAATTGGTACGTGCAACCTGAAGAGTAATAGACTCTCAGGGCTGGAAATTAGAAAATAAAGTGGACTGAGAGCCTCTGGGGAACCTTGAGTTGAACCGAGATTGCTTCGTAACCAGACCAGTTTTAAACAAGGATAAAAAGATGACACAAACTACGACAAAGTGAACAGCTTATCTTCCTT